AGCTCTCACTAAATGGAGCAGCCACAATGTCCAGTATTTCGTCATCATTCACATGGGTTAAAAGTGGAGCTGCAGCAAATGGTGCATGAGCTAGCTCAGCTGTCCAAAGTGTTTTCAATTCATAACCACATCTGAAACAATGATATAGAAAGTAAAACAATGAAAACATTTCAATCAGCTTGAAATTTAATACAATATAATGTTGCTGAAAAAAGGAAAGATAGAGAATCAAGGGTTGGCATGTCTGATTAACAAGTACAAAACATGCTACGTAATTTAAAGACTTCAAATAATTTCTATTCATACTGAAATCATTCAATATTCATCTGAGATTGTTTGCCTGAATAAACAATGTTTAGGCTGAAACATAGAACCAAACATTTGACCAACTATGATATTTTATCTGTTATTACACTTTGAATTTTCTCAAAAAATCTAGAAAAAGCTTTAATATTATATAAATAGCAAGAACATTATTTGATTGAAAACAATATGTTATAGCAAGCACAGCATTGAGAAAGTGGCGCAAGGTGCAACCTGTTACTGCGAGCTCTTATTAAAAGCAATGTCTCCAGGATGAAGAGAAAATTTGGACTCGGGGATTTTCCACTCAATTTTGGGAATCGGCCCTAGGAATTGGGAATTTTATGACATTTTTTACTAATTGGGAAATTTTATTGTATATCTTGTTTTTCAATAAATAAATACTCTAGATGAATAAAAATTGGTCTTTTACTTAGTTTTCCAGAACTATATATCAGAGAATTGATCATCATAATAAAGTTTTACCCAAGTTTCTTAAAATTTTGTTCATTTCATTCAAATTTCCAAACCTGAACATGTTTGTATTTTGTGAATTATGTTCAGGTTACCTTCTTGAGTGTTTCTGCATTCAAAAATTTAACATAGTAGGTAGTTCATTTTTGGGAAAAAGTAATAGGGGTTTTGCTTTGTGTGAAAATGTTGTAATTCATATTTTTTGGGGCCCATATCTTTATTTTAACAAAGAAAAAAGTATACCTTTATGATAAAATACATGGGGTAGTGTCATATATAATACCTTTGGGACTGTCCACACTGATTCAAATGAAATTTATCTGCAGTGGCCTATGGTCTCATACTCCTTTGCAAAATGAATTTCACTACAAACTACGTCCTTCTCACATGCTGAGGAGTTCCAGCAATGGTCTGCTTCAAATTACTATTGTTCATTTCTATGGGAAATTGTATTAGACAAATTATTTGAAGCAGATTAGAATGTACTCTTCGGCGTCAGATTTAAATGAATATGTCAGTGCTATTAAAAAATCAACATCTTGATGTTGGTTGGATTTAAACCTTTTAAAGGTAAGAAACAATAGTTTTACAGAGATAGAATCGAGTTAAAAGTATGTCCAAAGTGAAAAGTCAGAGTTCTTGAAATCTTTCGGTCCTGATAAAAACAACCAAGGACTGATCACTTTACGTTCTGTGTCAGTCAAAATGACCGGTAGATGTTGAGAAAGCAACTTGCGAAAATCTGACTAAATTTCGTATGAATTCCCTATAACCGACCGATCATAATCTGTTAAACGCTTTTCAGTATCTCGTAATGGCTTCTTCGATGAAGTTCAACGCAAGTACCAAACTATGATTGATTAATTGTTTTAACAAGTATATATTGACGGCGATAAGGTATTAGCCATTTATAATATTAGAAAAATCGAACTAGATTAAAAACTTATGAAGAAAATTTACCTCCCACAAGAACATAATTAAACGAAAAATTTGTTAAACGATCACTCTTTTAAAATTCGCAAAAAGTCAAAATGCAGTGTGTATATGACGGAAAATTAGGTTTTATTTATGAGAAATGTAATGATAATAAAATTCAAATACAGTTTTAATCTTCTGAAAATTATGTTTAATTATTTTGTTGGACTGATAAAAATCTGGCTGGACGAAGCGATAAATAAGTTAATAAACACTAAATAATTTAATAAGTGCAATTATTTATTCAACAAAAATTGAAATACAGTCACAGTTTACTATATATAGCCATTATTCGGTTGTATTTGTGGAGAAAGCGAACGACAATCCATCGTTTGTTTACAAAGCCATTTTGCCGCAATGCATGACGGAGCCAAAGATCTTTTTGGAGTTCACGCCTTTTTTGGAGTTCGTACTGGTTATTAGTAAAAGAGAAATCACTGTGCAAATGGATTCAAATGAAATTTATCTGCAGTGGCCTATGGTCTCATAATCCTTTGCAAAATGAATTCCACTGCAATTTTTGTGGCAATGATCTGGTCAAATTACTATTGTTCATTTTTATGGTAAATCGTATTAGACAAATATTATTTGAAGCAGATTAGATCAAAGTTTGGGTAAGGTTTCACAAACCACACTTTGTATGGCAATGGTTTTAGATTTGAAAAGAAGTCAATACAAAATTTTAACTCTTGATGAATCTCTCCAAGATGATCTTCAGGAGCTCTGCCCTGGTATTAAAGTGATTTATTGATATTGTTTTAAAAAGAAACTATAGTTTACTTGTACTTTGTACAATTTTTCGATATATTCCATTTTTTCGTCTGAATAAACAAACTATAAAGATATACTATGATATAGGCCTACCTTATTCTTGCCATTCTTTCTGCTCGCATTTTGGAGGCCAAATTTTCCTCTAGGTTTCTTACTCTTATAATTTTTAGACATATCGTTAAAATAATCAAATAAAAACTCAAAGTTTTCATCATTTAAAACTGAAAAAGCGTCAATACCTAGAGTTAAATTAAACATTTCAATTTTGAACAGATCAAGCTCGCATGGGCGCAGACATATTGAAAAATATTAACATATAGAACTATTACTGTGGAATGTAAAGTTCCGGCAGTCTACTGTCAAAAGACTTCCTATAACTTCCACCGGGAAAATTTGCATATACCCGGTATAAAGCGAATATCCCCCATGTGAATTTTGTTGCAAATCTCGCCATGAAATTATGCTTGTTTAGTTCAATTTAAAAAAATGTAAAAATCACGAAAAATAAATCTATAATTTATTTTGGCAAAAAGCTATATGTTTTACGTTAATGAATATGTGCTTCTTTTTTGCTAAAATAATAGAAGATTCAGGTGTATTTGGATTTTTATTTGCAAAGACAGACTTAATTAATAAACTGTCTTTTTTAATTTTTATTTTATTGTTTTTTGCCCCTCCCCCTTACTTTCAACACACGAACAGATTGCCGTGTTGCGGGTAAGTGATTTTGAAGAAAAAAAATGGTACTGAAAGAAGTTAACTTGATCCTAATCACCAATTAAAAATAAAAATCTTGGTCATAACTTTTTTTTTAAATGTGAGTACTGGGGCTATCATATTTCAATGTATATATTTATTGACACAAGTCCTTTGCTTGGATAACAACATTTTTGATTTCTTGAGATTGGAGTTGAACTTGCATTTGAGTATAATTAACTTCAACCCTTACCAAAAGCTGGCATACGGAGGCATCAGTGTTTCACAAGCTTTCTTTAAAAATTTGATTGTTGAGGTGGCAGATTTCTAATATAGACGATCTGTCCTTGATAATGTTGGAAATAATTTTCTGTCCTCTTCTGAAGAGAAAAATCAGAAAATAATTTCATATGACCTTACCGGTTTTTTTTATTTATATGTTATCGAAAATTCGTATGATCTGTCTGTTTGTTTTGTCCGTCTATCTGTCTGTTTGTTTATCAAACCTTTAATCTGTCAATTATTTTTTTTAGTTATGGCTTTCATATTTTACAAGTGTATTCCTTGTGATAAGACTTTCCTTTGGACCTAAATGGACCTCTTGAACTTGACCTTGCAGCCCACTGGAGGATTTAGAAGGGGACCCAGCCCCCCCCCCTCCCGTATGAGTCCAAAAAATACATTAGATCTGATAAATCAATGTTTTTTGGTGTGTCTGTGGACCTCTACTCTGACCCCAAACTGCTCCCCCCCCCTTTTTTTCCCAAGATTTCTGGATCAGCCAATGCAGTCTGGCCCACTTTGACAAAATTTTACCAAATTTTTAACCTTGGTCATAACATTTGAGCATCAGAAGACAAGCAACTTTGGTAACGTAAAATAACGTAAAACTGAAATTTTTAGAAATCATGCTGCTCACAGAATTCCATAATTCGATATTTGATCTCACTCGGACGGCTCGACCGCTAACTTGTAAGTCCCCCTGAATATACCACACTGCACGAAAAAATAAACTCTCCAGATATTAAAACTCTAGCTATCTTCTTTTGGGTTCTTCGGCTATACTTTTGTAATGAATAACAATTCTCAAATACTCAGACTTACATGTAGGTCCTCATTTTTATCTTTTCGGTAGATAAAGTAGGTCCAATGCAATGACAATGCTTATTTTAAAAGTTGATTTATTTGCGAGGACAATATAAAAAAAAAATTGTGGAAACCGTATTATCTTCCGTAGTTTGGCCATTGATTTGAAATTAAATTCATTGAAATACGGGTGTATCATGTTATAAATTTTAAATTTACTAAGGGGGGGGGGGGGGGGGGGGGTAAATGCAAAATTCACAACATTGATAACTTTGTAATAAAGGTTAAAGGTCAAAATAAATGATAGAAATATGCTTCTGGTTAAAAAAAAAATGAATTCTATTTGTTTATTTGCTTTAAAAAAAAATCACGATCCGCAGATTGATTGGTTCACTGTTTGTTTTCTTTTAAAAGAAATCTGTTGAGTGTTTTGAAGAGGAATTAACAGTATGCTAGAATATGCAATGAATGGGATATGTAATCTGAAATGATCAATTAGGTACACAAATTCCATGCTTCAATTAAAAAGATATCTTTGAATAGACTGATGGCTCAGGAATTTTGTTAAAGAATATTATAATAAGCTCTTTTGTGTTAATTCATGTCCTGAAGCAATTATGTGTATTGCAGCACCGCTAGCCAAGCGTGACTTTGCATTAAATGTCTAGCCGTTCATTATGTTACTGTGTTATGCAGAAAGAGCTTGCTCACTGAAGTGGAACGTCACACCTGTAGGTGTCAGAGAAAGGAGATTCAGCGGAGGATACGAGGATTCCTCCCGAAAATGTCCTCAAACACCAGGAAAACCCCTCTCTAATGCTCGGTAAGTGTATGTTTACATGCTAGGTTTTCAAATCCGATCATTTTACCCCTCAGGTAATCAAATCAGGAACTAGAGCCACATGGCATAATTAACAAAGATGGCCTGTCTTTGAGATAGGTTTGGAGAGAAAGGGTATGAAAATTATATGCAGAAGAAAATTGTATCTAAGAATTTTTGTTTATTAAAGAACCACAAATAAAATATTACTTGCGGGCTTTTTTTCCCCTTAGGTATTTATAAATAAAAAAGAAAAGGTTCATAATATTTGTTTTGGAAAAGTTCATTGTGAATATTGTCAATATCAGATTACTATGTTGGCCATTATCATTCGAAGTTGGTCAATAATAGATGAAAACGATGACTACATTAATTTTCCAAAAAGAAAAAAAGGAAAGAAAATCTATGTGAAAAATTATTTCTTTCCGTCCTGGTATCATATGATCATGATAGATATTGATCAATAGAGTATGTCAAATTCAAATACAGGTTTTAAGATTTATGCAAAATATTTTGAATCCATTATTTATTTATCCTAAAACATATTTATTATTTACATATATATATTAATTAATTTAAATATGAATCAAATGAACCGTAACTTTGGCCGGCTAAAACACCCCTTAAATATAAGATCCGCCGCCAATGTGACGTCATAAATAGGTCATCCAATCAAATTTGTATTTACAAATTGAATACGGGATGTGTAAATCATCGATGGTGGAGCAGGTGCGCGATGATCATGAACACGTTAGTATTTTAAAGGTATGTATGTCTGATCTTAAATGTATAGTAAGAATCTGAATAGGGTAAAGCTATTGCCTTCATTTGAATCGTTTTATTCTTATCGCACTTTCAAAATAGCACGATATTCTTTTATTCTATCAGTATCAGGATACGGGAGCCAGTCAAAGCGCCCCCTAATAAAAACGTCCCAGTCAAAGCGTTCCCTAATTTTAGTCAAATCTGAATGATTTTGGTCAAAGCGCCCCCTAACATTTTTATAGAAAAAATACCCCCCAAATATTGGTCAAAGGGTCCCCTGATTTTAGTCAAAGCGCCCCCTGATTTTGGTCAAAGCGCCCCCTAACATATTTTTAGAGAAAAAATAGCCCCCAAATATTTCAAAGCGTCCCCTGATTTTAGTCAAAGCGCCCCCCTAATTTTGGTCAAAGCGCCCCCCTATCATATTTTTAGAGAAAAAATACCGTCCCCAAATATTGTTTTAGTCAAAGCGCCCCCTAATTTTGGTCGAAGCGCCCCCAACATATTTTTATAGAAAAAATTCCGCCCCCAAATATTGGACAAAGCGTCCCTTGATAGTAGTCAAAACGTCCCCTGGTTTTGGTCAAAGCGCCCCCTATATATTTTTACAGTAAAAAAAAAACGTTTCGAGTCGATCCCCAAGCAATGGTCTAAACGTCCCCTGATTTTGGTCAAAGCACCCCCTTATAGAAATTTTTCAAGTAACTGCCACACAATGATAATGTTATAAATACAAAACAGTTTTATTCCGTAATATGTTTGTAAAAATATATTAGGGAGCGCCTTGACCAAAATCAGGGGACGCTTTGACCAATATTTGGGGGCGGTTTTGTAAACATCATTTTACTGTAAAATTTTCAAAATAGACCAGTGGACGCTTTGGCCAATATTTGGGGGCGGTTTTGTAACATCATTTTACAGTAAAATTCTATAAGGGGCGCTTTGACCAAAAACGGGACATTTTGACCAAAATCAGGGGACATTTTGACCTAAATCAGGGGACACTTTGACCGGGACGGTTTTATTAGGGGGCGCTTTGACTGGATTTCCAGGATACATCTCAAAGTTTAAAATTATTAGGTTTGTTCAATTAAAGTATTCTTTAAATGATGTTTCGTACAAAGATAACATCATTTCCAGGATCAAAACATGAAGTTTTTTTTCAAAATAAAGGGGATGTAGGGAAAAACCCGTCCACTTCAGACAGGCCCCCCAAAATGCGTTTTCAAAACAACAAGGGCGAGTCTGTGAGTCTTCCACGTTCATTACATCATCAAAACATCTTCATTGCTTCTGAACAGTAAAGAAAAGGTACAGCAGGCATAGCTGAACTCCCTAGAGTGCCCCTAACCAAGGTAATATACACAGGAGCTCGTTTTCTTTCTCTTTGACTCACCCCTCCCCTCCATACACACTATAAAATACATGAATACACATGTATTTTGTAGTCATGTTGAGCTCCTGAGGTATATAAACTATATATTTAGTCATTTGACCAGTTCAGAGTAAGGAACAGATTTAGCAATGCAGTAAGTATATGAGGGCCTTACAGAATAGAGTTTTGTTTCCGTTTTAACTGATAGGTAATATATTATTTACATTGGATATGTACAGTAACATCATTGATATGCCAGTTGTCAAGCATCTTCGCTACCCAAAGTTTTCAGATCTGAAATCTACTCAGGTATAACTCTAGATATTAGATACAGTTAATTCTCGATAAACTGCCACCTTTTGTAATTTAGAAATCATGGCGGTATAACGAATTTGGCGATGAATTGAATTTCCCATCTTTTAGGAAACAAGAAGTAGAGTTGCCGTTCTTAGAAATACCATTTAGCGTTTCTGTTATTATTACATGTACATGTATATAAAAACATATTTCTAAATTTGAAAATACTTCAAGTAATTTTTCAAGTACAATTTCACTAAAACAAAATGTACAGTTCTGAAATAAAGACAAGTACATGTGGATGCAAGTAAATCTGCACGTCTGATATCAAAAAAAAAAACATGCTGGGTCGATCGTCGTGATATATTGCCGATAGTACATAAAATGAATTCTTGAATAAAGTCAATGTTTATGGCATCATTGTTAATGAAACGTTCACCTTTATACCGTATAATTATTTTTAAAACAAACTTTGCAAGATTTAAAGCAGAGATCATCAAAATAATATCGTTATCGGCGTACTTTAACAATGGCCGCTTTCGCCACGACTAAATGACTTTTTTTAAAACAGAAAACAAAATTACTATAACAGTTCATGCTAAAATTATTGTTTATTTAATTCTTATTTAATTGTTTAATTGCATGTACCTCGTTTGGCTTTGCATGCTTTACAACAGGGATAGCGTCAACCAATTAGCCGCGCTCCACTGACCACATGCACCTGTGGCGGTATATCGAGATAATTGACACTTAAAAATGGACGTTTGTTTTGAAAACAGGGTGGCGGATGGCGGTATGCGAATTTGGCGTTATAAAGAGAATTTTATATAGCAGGAAAAACGTTCTTGGGAAATCATGGCGGTATGGCGAAAATGGCGATGAATCGAATGGCGATAATTCGAGAATTGACTATACAATGTTATACCGTAGACCTTAGAATCAAAAAACGTATAATTTGGCTATTAGCAAGGATGCATGTGAAAGTTGCACTGCAGCAAACATGCAGAGCTCTCTTCCCATATAGAAATTTCAAAGAATCCTTGAACTTTAAAAAGTTTTTGCCATTATGGAAGTGTCTTTTCTGCAAAATAACATGATAAAAATGAATGTTCTTTTTTGCCTCTGTCATTGATGAGCTACAATATATTGTCCAGTTCATTTTGTGATTTGAAAATTGAAATTAATCTCCAATATACTTTTCTGATTGGACAAGCTTACTTATTTGTTAAACTGTTGTAAATATGAAAACAAAATCTAAGTATTTAATTAAATAATTAAATACACCATTCAAGTAGGGGATGTCACATTTCACATGATGTCTCAGATGAGTGACTGAGACACTTTTTTAGAGAGTGTTATTGTATTCTAAATCATTAATGTTTAAATTATTCTTTACAAGTGATTATTATTGATAAATACATGTATTTTTCATTCTTCAACATAAAGATTTTCAATTTCTTCGCATCTGTTTAGAGTCTGACAGATTAAAACGATGAATAAGTAGGCCTACATTTAAGTAACACTTGTACAATAGACTAGTGGATAGTTTAGATAATGTTGAGCCAGAGACACTTCTTTCTGTAGTAAGTTTTTTATCTCCTAGTTATAAGTATAATACATGTAATAACAACACAAGGTCTAAACATAAGGGGTAAAAATATTACAGAAACAAGACAGTGTCCGTCTGTTCTGCATACAAGGTTACTGAGCATTTTCACGGTCTTAAATTCACTCTTTCAAAAAGTTTGCAAACAAACAAGATTACATATGTCAATAATCAAAGCTCACTTACTAATATCAAATAGAAATCTCAGTTCTCGCATAAATAAGATGTCGCAAAAATATAGTGATCTTAAGTAGTACACCGTCATTAGGAAAATAAACCCTCCCCCAATCTTAATCCACCACTTCAGTGTAAGATGCAGTTATACTTGTGACTTCTACTCAGTATATTTGGAAAATTCATTTGCATCTTCAAGGTTTAAACAGATGCCTAGGGACACTTACAGAGTAGAAGTGGATCTGGGGTTCTTCCCCAAATAGCGAGTTTAGGAGGAATAACAAAATAATCAGGGGGTAACATCATCATAGGCAGAGAGATCCCTCCCCTCCCTCTGGTGTTAGGGATGACTCTGCATATTGATATAAATTTTGTTATATTCCAAACATACAGAACTTATAAGCTCTTTGATATTACAAAAGTGTAAGGGTTGTTCTTGGTGATGAAATATCATAAACAAGCACCAGAAATACACTACTGAGTTTAAAAGTTGAAAAGTTTTTCAATGATGCATTAAGCAGGACCTAATGACTATCACAACATTCAGTTGGTGGCTACTGTTTGCATAATCTGAGTTCATATCTTCATCCTATTAAGGATAAATATTCACATTGGACAATACTTTTATGCAATATTTGTACACGATGCACACACCTGTTTACTATATTAAGGATGTGACATGAAGCCATGTCATTTATGTTGTCCATTTGAAAGTATCAAGTGTTAGGGTACAAAATTAAATCTTCATCATATGAAAACTGACAGAGTACCTGGATATACATGTTAAGAACATTATTGAACTAAACCTGTGAGTTACATGAGTATTTTAATTGGAGATTTGACTTGGTGGTAAGTAGCTGGTTCCATTTTCCTATTCTGATGATACAGAAGGCAATGCATGTATTATTTCACACGATGCATGTTGAACTTTAGAATTTGATAAGGATGACGTATATGTGTGCTTCACAGTTCAATAAAATGCAGATGGTAATCATTTTTAAGAAATATCAAATTTATTTCTTATTTACTACTCACACAAATGCAAGAGGTCAAAAACCACTTGTTGATTTATTTTCATCAGGAGAAGGTTTGCCAAACTGTAAAATGTTTACTATTTTGAGGTATTTTGTACACATGTTTTACATTATAGTTTCAAGGTGATCTGGGTTTCTATTGATTCTCATCTTTACTTTCATATTTTAGTGATAAAGATTTTAAAAAGTGATTCTTTGCAGACACTTCAGTATAAAAACATAAATTGCTTGTGTACAAAATGTTACATAAAGTATTGAAGTAAGTAAAAAAAATTGTGTAAAACATTTCTCCTTACTTTATATTTGGTTGGATGGCAAACACTATACGGTTGATAATTAAGATAATGTCCTCTTATTCTACTTGGTGGCATATTATTTCTTGACAATTTTTGAATATGGCAAAGAAAAAAAAAATACTCTCAGGTACAACCTAATGAATATTGCGGCTACTGGATTTGAGACCAACCTGTAAACAACATATACATAGGGAGGGTTATAGTATAGTGATGGAATAAGTACACATGTTTGACAGGAGAGTATATGTTTGACATTATACCAGAGATAGAACAGGTCAGAGTAACAGTGTGTTCACATGGGGAACAAATGATTCCCCAATCATTGTAATCAGTCCTAATCTAATGCGATCTATTGATGGATTATGTCTTCCACTCTTTACATGTATCATGTGCTGTATACCTTTACATACATTGTATATCAGATGTGAATATTCTAGCAATCTGTTCCTCTTAAATATCTCACGGAGATATTTGGTAGGTTTCAAAAGATTAATGTCACTTTCCAAGTGTTTACATTGAGTCAGACAACATTTCGTATTGAATGAAATTCTTTTTCTTGAAGTTGTTCATTTTACTAAACCTATTGTTGTGCACCGCAAGTATATTGCAATGCAAGGTATTTACTTTGTCAGTTAAACCTGTTTTTTGAGGGTTGTTCATGTGAATGCATTGGTCTGTAAGTTTGCCAGAAGCATTGTTCAAATGGTAAAGCTGCTCAGTTGACATACTTTTAACTCTGGCATACACACAATGCATAAAAAATGAACTGACACAAAAAATGTAATGGCTGGTAAATCACACTGGACATTTCTGTCCATCTGTTGTTAAAAAGAGAAAGTATTTTGGACGTGTTGGTAGATTCCTCATTAATTACATTCACTGCTACATTTTAGCCAAATTGTAATGTGCTTTACCACCCTAATTGAAAATCAATATTGATTTGCTCGCATGCCTGATAATTAAAAAAAGAGAAAAAATTGTCTCCGCAACATATCAGAGTACATAGTTTATATCAAAGTGTTTAGCATTTTTCTCAGGCATTTTTTGTGTACCAGCTGACTGAAAATCAATCCTTGGTTGTTTTTTAAATAAATAATTTTGGTTTGAGTTGCACTTGGCTCCGTTACAAGAGTAGGAAGGTTAGATTAAAGATTTATTGACATGGCACGTGTGATCAATTTCTGTGAGTATTGATGCAGAGTTTCAGACCTAGATATTGACGTAAAAATGCTGCAACCTAAATGTTGATGTCAAACTTCATTAATATGTGTGAATGGGTTAGAAGAAGGGAGATATTGAACAGAGAAAAATGTTTCATCCGATGTTAGTATTTGACAAGCCTGGGATTGATTTTAATCAATAGAAATTGTGCTACTTTTCCGCAACAGAAAGACTCCCTGCTGATTGTAGAAAAATTTCAACTCCAATACACATCACCTACTAGACTGGGAATATAATGAGCCTATTGTCATCTAATGAATGTTCACTGTAGGTACTAATCGCCCCTAAGTACTGATGATACCTTGGTCAGTCTCGGTGATTGTGTAAGGTAATTTTACCTGAGTCCTCATGCTTTTGTACTCCGTAAAATGCCCAGACTACGATTTCAAAAAAGGTACGAATCGATTGTCATCTAGCACCTAATGTCACTAACAATCAGGTAATATTAAGTTGGCCACTTCTGTTTGCATACTGCAGATGGTCAGATAATTTTCTAGTGGACAATGGTCAGTTTTTATTAGCTCCCTCAACATCCAATTTTCATGGCTTTTCAGTTTTCATTGACTTCAGACTTATGCCCGGAGTCAGTTTCTTTATGAGATGGACGCTCATTAATCATTTTTAACATCTGAGAATTTGATATGTGTAAGACCACTGTGTTGGACATGGCATCCTTGTCTGTTAATGGCTGATTATGTACGGAATATCAGAGAGGGAGCAGATAAGAATCTTGTGTTTACATGTGATTTACTCCTCCCCCTTGGGAGGGCCTCATTCCCTCAGCAGCCTGAATCATCCAAAAATATTTCACACAGTGAGCACATTTCTACTGTAATCTAGAAACGTTCTCTCATTCATGAGTGAAAATTTGTGTTTATGGAATATTGGAAATTTGTTTCTTGGGATATTTTACACCTGATTTGACAGTGAGCTTGAGTAAACATTTGAGAAGAGAAAACAGTGGTGATTTGATGCTGTCTAAAGGTATTCCCACCTGATGCTTCTGGTTAGAGCAGTGTATAATATCATTTCTGTAAGCTATCCATTTAGCTCATAGTCTCCAAGAGAAAGAAGAGTAATAATACTAATACACAGGTATATTTATCATGCACATAGAGAATGCATTAGATACTAGTACATGTGTATATAGGAAAGGTGTAAAGAGAAATAGACTTTGTCAAACATGGGTATGTTTTCTGTCCAGTCTTAATGGTGTTTGGACATACACATTTGTTATACATGTACTCTATTAGTGCTGCGATTGGCAAAGGTATAAACATGAGTTCTGTGCATATGGTGGTTAAATGCTAGAAGATAATGTATTTACAATGAACAACTTCTTCTGTTTAGGTTGAGTGCTTCCTCAAAGTGCTGAAGTCATTATCACCATGTTTTTTGGTTAAGTACAGGCGATTGAGGATAATTTAAAGCTAAATAGCTGAATGTTTTGTATATTTTCAGGTTATTTGTTGATGTGTGGTTCAAAGAGGTAAAGGAGTCTGACAGAGGAACCACGATGCAAATGGACTAATGTCCATCAAAATCTTACAAGGACGGATACTTACGGAATCGAAAAATGGCATGGAATCACATATTACAATAAACAAAACCTCTGGGAAATATAGAATCTAAGAAAATATAGAAACTGAGCAATCAATATTGTCAGCTTTCTGACACATACAGAGAGGGAAAAATTTCGAGAGAAGAAAATGAGCTTCAACCGAGAAAAATCATACGGCGGAACCAACCTTCTGGATTCTCCATCAGAGGCCAAAAGACGTCGAGTGGTGGGGGACGATGTGTCCATAGCAAGCACACTCAGCAGTCAGGTGAGCAGCCGCTCGCACTCCCCCACATTTTCGGAGACATTGGATGACAGTTTCCTCAGCACACCTGGAAACTCCCCAGCAACGACGTTAAAGCTGACGGAGAAATTTCGAGTCAAATATGGTAGGACGGAGCTCCTTTCTACCATTGAGCAATATCTTTTGGATAAAGATATCATTGAAGCTTGTCAGGTATGTATGCAAAAAAAAAAAAAACTAAAAAAATATAACCAGAAATTTATGGATTTCATCAAAGTGCATAATGGATAAAAAATTTATTGTATTTTGCTTAATTTTCTGTTATTACTACCTAGTTATGTGTTTTGTTGGAACAGTAAACTGCCATTTAACTCATAATAATCACATTAAATGTGCATGAGCCTGCATATTGTCTGGATCTGTCCAAGCTGAGCCAGGTAATAATGGTGAATTCTAGTCCACCAAATCAATATAGCTCAGCGTTCTGTCCTAGATAGCAAAAGGAGATTAAATTTATTGCTTCATTCATTAACTAGCAGCTTAGGCTGGTGTCCCAAATGAGTGCAATCTTAGCATTGGTGTGATCTTTCCTAATTATCAATGTTTTATCAATACTGCTAATACACAAGAGAGATGCTTTATCAAACACTGCATAATACAGTTCTGTTGCATGCAGATAATACCCTCAGGGTTATTAGTGTGAATCTGTACCCTTATTCTTCAGGGAAGATTTTTTGCATTGACCTAAAATTAGGAAGCTAAGTCAATAAAAACATACAATATATCATCCACTTAATGAGTCAAATTTTCTAAAAGTGTTTGTCAGTTGAAGAAATTTTTATAAACATCAACTTGAAATATAAATTATTTTTGGATACAGTAATTTATTAATAAACCTTGTTTTAAAATAAGTAAACTGAATATGAAAAAATATTTAGTTATACACCAAACATTAAAGGACAAATACTCAGTTTTGTACTAAGTGTTACAGACTTACAGTAGAGAAAAAATAAAAAAAGGGATGATTATCTATGAGGATATTCTGTAACCTATGATAAAATTATTAAAAATGTGATTTTATGCTACTCAGTACCCTATAAATTTTATTTTCATGTTTGTAATATGAAAGGATCAGACAAGCCCCACCCATAATCATATAAGCTTCTCTGTTACCTTTCAGTCCCTTGATGACACCGAGGGTACAGATGACAATAAGAAGGTGTCCCTGATGGAGTTCCGTCAGCAGTACAGAGAGTTGTCCCAGTGCCTGACCAATGTCCAGAGGGTGGCCCTAAAGTCACTGGGATCTCAGATGCTGTCCGAAAAGTACTTAGTACAGGTACGTACTCAGGTACTGAAATCAGGATGTGCACCCTATGACCTTTTTAAACAAATTCCATAATTCTTTTTTAATTCAAAAACCATTGTTACCAAGCACGTATACTTTCAATTCCAAGACATGCTATACTATCTAAAACTTATGGTCTGATGGATGACTTTAATTGGAGTTCATTTAGTACAGGAAATTATAATCACTCCTCACAGAAACCAAAAAAAGGATGTTGATAACATCGATTGAAATGAATATCCACTGTTACGAAATTATATCTCTGCCCTGATATGAAAAAAAATGTGTCTTAATTAATATTAAGATGGTTTTGCAAATTATTGGCAAGGGTAGACTTTACTCAAGGAATATCTTGCTCAAAACCGATATCATTCCTTATACAGTTCAACGTGGGTATCTTAAACACTGATACCTTGAATACCATGGATATGTTTGTTTGTTGAAAGTCCAATCCACTTTTTTATGTATTTTATACTGGATATCTTGAAGCCTAGATATTTCTGTTCTCAATCCCTTTGAGTTTGAGATAATGAAGGTGACTATTTACATTTTCACAGCTGCAGAAATACATGCAAATACTGAGTTTTTCAGGCAAATCTCATGATCTTGAACTCGATTGGGCCAAGAAAATGTTAGAGAAATCCAGAGCAATATACTTGAAAAATAAGTACCAGGTAGATGGGACTTTCATATCACTTTGACTTTATATCCATGGTATTCTAGACATCCATGGTTGAGATACTGAAGTTGAACTACAATATATTATACATGTGTATATGTATACGAACATAAGTAAATCATAAAGCTGGTCATGGTATTGGGAATGAATAAAAAACTGCCAGTGTGTTTATCTCTTTGATGGCAATATCGCATTACAAAAACCAAGTATTGCCCTTGATTAATTTTCTGAACTCTGCGTGACCTTTGTGTCTTTATCCATCACCGTGCTGAGAAATAATCAGTCATCATTGATGTTTACACTGCCCTGTCTGTATCATATTGATTAATGGAGGCCTCTCTTTTCTTCCTGAAAGTGGTCCCCATAGCTGGGAACCACTAGTTTGAGTCAGCTGCTGTAATGTTGAGGAATTATTTACTCCATAGGGAGTGAATGGGGGGACTTGTTTCAGTCAATAACTATTATTCTCCTTTGATATAATGTGCTATTTAGTAAAACACAGAATTTTTTTATGGATACCCCACTCTTTCAGGGGTTAGAGCCCTGTTTTAAATAAACCTGTTTGAAAATATTAAGCTGCACAATCTTCCTTGTTCTAAAAAGGTTACACATCACCTACCTTTCTCATTATTGTGAGATAAGTAATTCAATGCAAAAAAAAGTTAGACAATGTGCTTATATATATTCACTAATCACTATAGACTTATTTCTTTTAGAAATCTGACCCCACTTCCACATTTATAACCATATAAGCATCTTATTTCCTCTAATAGCTATAATGTCTGGTCAAGGCATGCAAGATAGATCTTAAAAGAAGTGATTTATTTTTAGCATACAGTTTTTAACTCACCTGAGCTAAAAGCTAAAGTCTATAGTCACCCTTGGTCTGTCTGTCTAGCATTCTGTCAGTTTGTACATCTGTTAACTTTTTACTTTTTCAACTTTTCAAGAACCACTGGGCCAATTTTAACCAAACTTGGTACAAACATCCTTGGGTGAATGGGAATTTAAATTGTTAAAATGAAGGGCCAAAAAACCTTGTTCTCAAGAATCACTGGTCCAGAAAAGCTCAAACTTAAGTGGAAGCATCCTGAGGTAGTGTAGATTCTAAATTGTTAAAAATCATGACCCCTGGTGGGGCCACGATAGGAAATCCCAAGTTTTACATTGAAATATAAAGGAAAAATCTTTTTAAAATCCTCTTCTCAAGGAAACACCTGTCCAGAAAAGCTGAAATTTATTTAGAAGTATCCTGAGGTTATGTAGATTCTAAATACTGTAGAAGTACTTTTTTCGCCTGGTATTAATTAACACTATGTACGCGTTCACAAATTTTGCATGGAAATTTGTCCAAGCGTATTTAATATAAATGTAAGGCATATATTGACATAGGGTGGGGTCACGGAAAAAAGTATGTTTACAGTAGTCTAAATTATGACCCCTAGTGATAGGGTGGGGTCACAATAGGTATTACAAGGGGGAAATTTGGTGAAGAACAGCATGGCCAAAGTTACTCAGGTGAGCGTTGTGGCCCATGGACCTCTTCTTATTTATTGTTAAAGAGTCTGCAGACAGTCGGCTTTTTTTCACAGCTACTTTATTTTTATCCCAAAGTACAAGACAGGATAAGGGAAACAGAAAATGTGCACTTAACATACAAGGAAACAACTAACCTTTGAAAAAACATGTCCCTGATAAGGGGAAACATTTGTTAAATTTGATTTTAAGAAGTACACAATTAACCTCACAGAATGCAATATCTTTTAAGGAACTGCTTTGTTTAACTTTTATGGGGAAAGCATTTTCTGTTTCTGTTAACGAAGGTATTTATTTGTGCAAGTAGCCATGATTGCATGAAAATGGTATAGGCTATCGTTTTCAACTCTTAAGTATGAAATAATTTTAATATATTGACCAAACAAACCCAAAGATTATGCACAGTCTATCTGTTGACCTACTTATAAAAACTGTAACCTTGGCCATTACTTCTGAATGTATGCTGCTATGACTTGCATATATTACCTGCATATTTCTTGAATCAAGACCTTTCTTTGATACCAACATTCTTTTACCTACCCAGTAATACATGTACTAATACTATTTACCTTTGAGATTTACCTTTAAAAAAAAAAAAAACCTTTTGCCATGATCTGATTATCGTGGAATCAGTGTTTCACAAACCTGTCTTTGAAATTCTAAAATATGTAAATATTTTCCATTAATGAGTTGTTTAAGGTAAAATTTTTGTAGCCCTCTGTAGGATTGTTGGCTTTGTAGTCAACATTTCATGACTTCAAACTGTTTCTTAAAATTGTATTGCTATGTTGTGACTATATGTACAAAAAACCTGTGCTGTAAATAAAAAAAAAAACAAAGGAAGAAAAACAAATCTGAACTTGCAGCCTTATTTTAACTTAACATTAATTAGAAGACATGTATTGTTGATCTGCATGATGGCTTTGAAAGATTATACCTTATTCTTGATTTCTATTTGATTTTTAAATCAAAATTGAAAAGGGGTTTACAGAAGTGAATATTCTTGTATCCAATGATTGCATATATGTCTTAGTACTGTAAAACATTTTTTAAAATGAACTTTCAAATATCTGTTACAGAGCAACAACTTAGACCTCCTGAACAAGTCTTTGACAAGACGTAAATCTTTCATGGACTATGCAAAACAACTTCTTCAACGAGAGCCGAACCACAAACAGGAAATTGACGAAAGAGTTAATTCCCTCAGCAAAATGTGGAGCACTTTGGAACAAGATGTTAGCGGCAAGGCCATGTGGCAGAACACACAGACCATGCTTAGAGGTATGGCATGTTTAGGAAAGAGGGATAACTCTGTTTGTTTTCTAATGTGGTCATGATAGATAACTCCTGATGTCAATTCACCTATAAGAGTTGTCCTTCCTGCCTTTCAGATCTGGAGACAGACCTGAAGACTTTACAGGCCTGGCTAACAGACACAGAGCAGAAGCTGTTTTCGATGTCGTCCCAGTACCAGCAGTCCGATGATGAATTAAAGAAGAGCCTGGAGGAACACAAGGTATATTCAAGTTTTCTTATGAAGAAGGTAGAAGACACCTGCAGAAATGTACCCCAGTAATTAAATGATAGAATGTATCAAACAGATAGTCCAGTGTAAAAAAAAAAGACAAAGCAAAAAAACTAGGCATATTATTGCTTTTTTCGGTAACCCTTACAAGGAAACATAAATAAGAAGCAAATAAGAAGCAGTATGACTTTGATCTAAAAGAATTTTGTAATGCTTCTTGCATAGAATAATATGCATGACCAAAGTAAGGGAAAATCTTGTATATTCTAAGTGTTGTGTAATGACCATCTGGACAAGTAATTGTGTTCTATAAGTGGGTTGATAAAGTGCACTTTGAAGAGTGATGAAACAACCCACCATACCCTAACAGTGAAAGATACAAACAGAGCTAGGCTTGTTATGCATTGAGTGAAGCAAGTAGATTTGGTGAATTTAGAAGCATTGGTGAGACTGATGAAAATTGATAATCAGGGTCTGAAAGGAAGTTTCCTTGTACAGTGAAGAATCAAGTTTTCAAAAGTGTTCTGAAATCAAAATGTGGTCATTGCACTGAAAAAGTACCACAGAGAGAAGTAATGTAAGTTAAAAAAAAAAAATCCTCTTAGTGAAATGCCTGACTTATTGTTCATTTGATTTGAAAACATCCTGATCAGTTGTTATATTGAATTATAGTACATTATCATTTATCATTTAATGTCTGCAAGATAGCTACTCCATTGTCATCTGATTCGAAAAAAATTCCTTCACAAAATTTGACTAAGTGTTTCCAGAATAAAATTTAAATTTAAGTTTCAAAAAGCTGGAGTTTAGTGATGCAAACACTACAGAAAATGATGAAAATAAACTTTATTATAGATATGTGATATGATATATTTGATATGAAGAGAAAGGTAATTTAAAGGCATTCTTGCCAACTGTTCAGTCTGTTTCCATGTAGAAATGAAATTAGAACATTTTTATAAGAGTGATTTAAGAATATTTTAAAATCTGCATCCATTAGTGTACACAAAGAGAGGAAATTAGTTTGCATACAAAATAACAAAAAAAAACAAAACAGAACTTAAAGGGTCCCTTTAGTTGCCAAGGGCATATGCAAAATCTAACTAATTTAAATCAAATCGATGACAAGGATTGTATTGATCTAGAGTTTAATGCATTTAAGCAAACAGTTGGCTTCATAGCGTGCAGGTTATACATGTTAAAGGGTTGTTGCTTTATCTTCGATCACAAAGGTAGGCTTGCTATTTCTGCTGTGTAAAGATATGTTTCTTTTTTCATCATTTCTATTGTTTATTCTGTTTCTGCCCCCTTCACAAAAAATAAATCAATCATGTTCTTTTGCTTATGGTATTTATTTAAAACTCATTTAACTTGACCTTCGGCACCTGTATCATTAATCTGTGTATGTATTGGAAACCTTTTTCTTTTGTATATATGAGTCACAAGTATCGTGAGATGGAAGTCTATTGTTCAAGCTTTTTTATGTAAAGTTGCTCAGGTGTTGTAATTCAATTTGAATACAGTTCAATAAATTTTCTCCTCCTGGGATGGAGATGAATTTGGGTATGAGGTAAGCTGGTAAGTGGGATATTTCACTTAAAACACAATTATCTAAAGTGGCAATATATCAGATTAATTGTGATAAAAGAGGTTAAGTTGTTGATGTGTTTATGTAAATTTTGTTGTTTTGTTTTGTGATAAATCAAGCGTGTTCTTTTATATTTAAGTTTGGTTACCATGGATATTCTCTTTTCTGCACTTCCATGGTTGAACAATCTCTTATGAAAGTGATGTACAAGATGTCCCACTTCGTGTCTCCTAATGGGCTATTTATGAGCAGTAAACAAATTTCATCTACCATATCTATATACATATATATCAATTTGTATGTTTACCTACAGCAATATTTTATTTATATCAATTAATGTGTATATAGTAGATGATGTATTCAGGATGTCAAAAGATACATCATTCTACCAAGCGTACCTTATACAGGTGAATCAAATCTGTACCATACAGATTGTAGCCATATTTCATGTACTTGTATCAGATATGAACTAATGAACATGCACTGTCATCACAAAAGCCAAAAACTTTATCCAAAAAAAACCCACCATATTTAATTGATAGGAAGAAAGTAAACTACATTTTACTAAGAATGATCAATTGAGTAGGTGTTTTAAAATCTTTTTAGTGTTTCTCATTAGGAGTATATGACAAGTAGCTTCGCTAGCCGTTTACAGGTGAAATATTCCTGCTTAACAGTTACAGTCATTAAACACGATAAACTTTTGACAGAATGATTTTTTAAACGACCCCTAAATGCAGTGACAAGACAGGAAATAAGATGACTCTTGCACAAATTACACGTCTGTCTTTGTACGGGCCATGTTCCTTCTTTGTTCCGAGTTCCAGTGTATGTTCATTATTTTATGTATATATGGAAACAGCTGAAACTTATTGATTGGTTAAAAGTGGCCCAGATCTATGATTCTACTGTGCTGCTCACGATTGCAAACCTCGAAATTGGACGAGGACTGAGAAGCTCAAAGATTATGAACAGATGTAGGACAAGATCTATATGTTCACAGGAAGGACAAGCTCTGAGTTATATTGTGATTGATTACATCTCTGATTCAAGTTAAGATGTGATTTAGCTTGGATTATTGGGAAATTTCCCTGTGTATTGTAGGACTTAGAATTCATATTTAATATTGGGTAGTTAATGTGATAAAAATCAGCATGGACATGTCTGGAAATGAATATGGAGATTTAAGAAATTATCCACTAAGTGGTTTGTTTATAGAAGGCTAAAAGTCAAAGACGCTAAGGTATAAAAGGTAAGTGTCCTCTGCTGTTTTGAATAAATTGTCACAATTTTAGACTAAGGTCTGTTTAGTGGTTAAGATAGAAACCAAAAGTGTCTGACAAACTTGGTCTAACAAAGTATGCCTGTAGGCAAAAGAAGTTACGGAAAAGGACTTCAGAGTTTCCCAGATTTCCTGGAAGGTTTCATCATCTGAGAGATGTACTAGGACTTGTGGGATGTAAATCAATACAGGTTTATATTTGGATTGTTTTATTGGGGAGGCCACTGTTGCATGTCCCCTGATATGTACAGTTGCCTGATGCCTTTGATGTGTACTTTTTCTCGTTATACTGACGGTAATGACCCTTTGATGTTGCTCATTTTCATTGATGAGGATAGGTTTTGATGTCCTGGGATTGTGTTGAAATGCACGGGAAAGACAAAAAAAATCCTCAATGATTCTGCTTCAAAAAGTGTTAGTTATATGGGTGGCGACAGGTTGAATTAGAAATATTGATTTGATTTCGTCTGTTGTTTTTTTTAAGACAACAGTTCCTAAAAAGCCTCAATTCTTGGCCAAAGAATGATCAATTTAATGATCCAGTTGGAATTATGAAAAGAATTTGATCTGTCACATATTTTCTCCTTTAAAAAGTTTGTAACAATGTATGATTATGATAATTTTCTAAATAATCCTTGTCCCCTACCTCAGATTTGATCATTTTCTATGTTCACACAAGAAAAAATGGGTTGCCAAGAGCTAACTTTATTTAAATAAGATGATATGCCTTTCTTTTTATTGGGTAAACCCGGAAAATTGACTGTTTATTGACCTATTAAGACCACAAAATAGATGATGGATAATTAAATTCTGAAATGCAAATGAGCATTGACATTGGAGAAAGAACAAGAGGAAGATCTTTGCTGCGGGGCTAACATGTCTGAGGATAAAGATTTATTTTTGTATGCTAATCACACAAAGTGTTTATTGATTAATAAAATGTATTTAATATAAAATATGTCAGAAATGTGTACAGGTTTGGCACAGTAAGGTATGTTAATTAAGCCCTCAAAAAATACAAATCATAGCCATCAATGAAGGTCAGTCCAAAAATAACGGTATCAGATGACAGAACTGTTATATTGTACAATATACATGTACTACATAATCACAAATGGACAGTTGTTAAATTGAGAACTTAGCAAACAATGAGACAAGATAGAAAATACACAGATTAAGGCCAAAATTAACATTACAACATTAGTAATGACGAGTTACAAACATCCTAACTCTGGCCTCGGGGCACAGAGACCAAGTTAAGGTAATGATTATAACCTTGTGTGAGTTTACACACCATTAGTTCATTTTATGTAGATAAACCCCTCAAGTCTTCACTTTATGATGGAGGGACCATAATCAGCTCAAATGTCAAAGTAGGTAAACAACTGACAGTAAATAGGCCTGTTCAAGTCACTTGTTGGTCTGCCGATCAAAGAATGAAGGGGATAAAATAACAATTGACCAGATGCTTTTATCTATTTATTTGGTCATGGTTTATGGACTGTCATAGTAAGAAAATCATTGCAATAAACACTTAACTATTACTTCATCAAAAGAAAATCCTGAATCCTTTTGAATATTTGACCGACTTATGACTAAAATCCCTGCCTGCCGATTTCTGGGGAGAGTTACATGCATGTCGGCAATCAGATAAAGCAAGAGATAGAGGGAGAAAAAAGCATATAGGTACACAACTTGTTATCTAATCAGGATACAAATCTCATGGCTCAGGTGTGCGTTATTGGTCCACCTGACAGGTACAAATATTGATGTGTAAGCATAGCCCTGTCACAAACTGACCAAGCCCCTGAGTGGACAGTCCGTCTGATGCCAAGGGCCCCAGCCAGCTGACCACTTGTTATGTATTAGCTGTGTCTTATGTGTGAAGGTGACATGTTTCACGACAGAAGATTATAAACTTATATTTATCCAGTGTGCAGCTTTATTCTTGTACGGTGGATTTTATCGTATTGATTTTTTTTATTTCACGAGTTCTTTCTTATTGGGAAAAGGTATTCCACGTGGAACACCAAGTTTATTATAGTAACAGCTGTGAGTGACTGTGCTCTGCAGGTTCTGCTTTGCTCAGGATTCTTTCTTTTAACAAAAAACCAGGTAAATACTTATTTGTAAGTTTATAGGTAATCATGTCACTTGTATACAAATTTTTGAAAAGAAAATCTGAAATTCTAGATTTTGAGCAACAAAAGAAAACAAAAAAAGGAAAAACCGGGGAAGGGGGCTTTCAAGTGTAAATCTTACCTCATTTTGTATTTAATCTTCATGTTTTTGTTGGCTCTGTTGTATTTTTGAAGTCGGTGTAAAACTTGTTTTGTTTGCATGAAACAGTGTCTGCCACCCACTGTACTTCTCTTCGCTCAAGCTCATGACAAGATTTACTGATCAGGTGAATATTAATTAATTTCTGCAGATGTATTTTTTTCTAGTCATTTGATAGATTAAAGGTTTTTTTCTGTATATGCATCATGCATGGGTTAATAGCACTTGGTTAATAAGGCAATGTGTATTTGGTTTATTTTCGATTTTAAAAAAGATAAGCTGGTCACATAACAAAAGAGCTATGGAGAGTTTATGTTTCTTTGCCTTTTTAAACCTCTAAAATGTAACCAATTGTGCAAAATATTGATCCGTAAGGTAAAAATATTTGGAGGAAAAGCAAACATGAGAGGGGTGGAGTCATTTTGGGGGTTTTGATTAGCTTTAGCTGCCTACACCTATGTTGTTAAAAAATATCTGACATTGCAGATTGCATAAATGAACTAAAAATAAAGTGATTTTAATCCTAAGAAGGTAAAACCTTTTAATTTTTTTGTATTAATTAAAGAGTAGATTTGTAATTGTTTACAAATGTCTTTTAACCTTGAATGCAGTAGAGTCATGTTTTATTCTCATTCTCTATTTTTCATGGTTTACTCAAAATTGAGTTGAAATACTCTCCATGGTGAATATCTCATTTAAATTTTTAAAACAGACAGTGCCTTTATTTCAGTATTGGTTGAGACTGTGAATTCATGGAAAATTTAACACTTCACCTTTCACCCCAACCCCTTACATAATATATTCTGCAGTAGTATACAGACTTTTTTAGTGATATGGATTGGATTATGTACTTTGGTCTTTTCTTATAGTGCATTACTTAATTGGATCTTTGACATTTAAGACTCTGTTCAGAGAAATGTAACAGCATGAAGTCTTCCATGGGTAAATAAATTAAATGTATTTTTAGGCAAACAAAATATTTGGACTGAGGTTTTAATTTAAAAAGTCTAGAGCATGTTTTTGACAGAGGTCCACATTAGTGCTTGGAGTCTGTAATTTCAGGCATCCATTTAAACTACTTGTCAATTTATTTTATTGAATATAGTTTGGTCCATATTTATTCTTTTTCACAGTTGCCTTGCTATTTGTTATCTTTGGAAAGGACAATTTCCAGAAGTTATTTAAAAATTTCTTTTGAAAAAAAAACAACAGATTATTTGACTATCTTGCATGGTAAATTTGTTTTTGAATATTTTTTTTCATTATGTCTGGACCATATATCAGTAATGGCTCCAGAAGATATTAAGAAGATACAGTAAAACTTGTTTTGTATGAACGGGGATATCGTGGATTCATGGATATAGTGAAGTTATCTTGGATCCCTAGCTTTACAAATTTTAACGAATTCCTTATATGGATATGACAAAATTAATTACAGATATAGCAAAGTAATTTCAAGTCCCTGTGACTTCGTTATAACCGAGTTTTACTGTACATTACCTAGCAATTGACTAGTACCTTTGACTGGGAATGACTTAACACACAATGTGATGAGCCTCCCAGAATTTATTGAATAAAACTAGATGGTGTTGCTGTATGATATTGGCAGTATTTAATTGGAGGGAATGAATGGACTGACATAATAGTGGTATTTGGTGAAGGTTTGTAAATATGGCAGGTATTGACACAATGATTATAAGCTAATGATGAGAAGTAATCGGCTCCAAATCTCTGCTAGTGTCACCGGGATCCACAATAGAAATAGGTCCTAATACAGCATCATAGCTCCGTAATAGAAAGGTGTTCCACAGGTTAACGGGAAAAATTACATCATTATTACATGTAGAGTAATTCACTTATACAAGCTTATAAATAGGTTTTCTGTACTCTTCATTTAATAACAGGTGGGGGATTTATTCTGACTTATGGTCAAGAAGGAGTTGTGCAAGGCACTTTAAGCTTGTTTGTGACTGAGAATTTAATGAAGCATGTGTGTATTTTGACCAGTTCATTAAAAGACCAGAAATTAAACCTTTGTGATAAACTGTGGCTGATTCCCTATCAGGTGTCCATTGATTTTTGTCAGTAATAGACATGTGTCATCAGAGCCGGTGAGTTGAGGAAGCTTTTACATTGATTGTTGTTACAGAGTGAAATACGGGATTCTGCACGTGTGATGTTTCACCTGGGTCTTTGTCTTTTATTGCGTGAATATTCGCATCATCAAAGAGAATGCAGATTGCTTTTTTAGCCTAGATGTCGTTCAGGCTCTATCACTAATTTCTTCTTTTTTATGGATCAGTCGGATCAATATTATTCTGTTTTATTTTTTTTAGGGGAAAAAACAAGTGTTATTTGTATTTATCATTCCCCTAGCACTGTTAAAATATTGATAAGTTAACCTTGATTACTGGGGATTATTTAGTGACAGGATGGATAAATTGAGAGGGTTTGTACAATTTGAGCTAGTGCTCAGTGTGTGGGATATGTTTTAGTCTGATAAAGTAGATTTTTAATTATGATTACATTGTACATGTTTTACTGTAGGAATACAAAAAAAAAAAAACTTTTCATTTCTGCACATGAAACCCAGAGATTGAGATGTAAATTGTGCTTGTTATTAACTTCTGAATCAATTCTGACAAAGATGAATTGAGAAAAAAAGAGATAAAACTTAGATTAATCTAAACTAATATTTTGAAATGAAATATTGATGTTCATTGATTATACTTTTCCTTTGATTGTAGATACTGCAGAAGGATATAGAGTCAAAGAACCGTAACATCAGTGCAGTTCTTCGCTTGAGTGAACTTCTTCAAAATGACCTTGAGGACCCAATCAAGCATGATGTTTTCCCCCTGCAGGAGCAGGCCTTTACTCTGCAGCAGAGATGGCATGAAGTCTGGCTGGCGTCTGTAGAAGTTCAGTGCAGGCTGGAAAATGTCCTGAAAGGAGGCAGAAAGGTGGGTATTATAGACAGGTAGCATCTCTCAATACATAGGTTTGAAAGGATCTCTTAACATTCATCCAAGAATGGAGGAAGCACCTGCTTTAATGTGTATATTCAAATGACCATGTAGATCTTCTTTAGAAACTTTGGTAGGAAAGACAGTATGTCATGAAACCCTGAAAATACATTGAATGGTAGAAAAACTTCAGGGTGAATTAAAGATTGTAGCAGCTACATAGTTTTATGTAGAGCAGCTATGATCTTGAACAAAATGCTACTCTAGCCACTTTGTAAGGATTATTCATACAGTATAGGCCTAAATATCTAACTTTAGCAGCTAGGCTAGGTGTTAAAGTCTTAAATGCAGCACTTTATGCAAGATTGTTATTTAAATTCTCAAGATATTAAAAGAATTAATGTTGATATGAAGTTGTTTTGGCTTTAGCTTCAATTTAAAAAATGTTTTATTTGTAAATACAAACATTGTCCAAATGTATATATATAACCCCTGGCTCCAGTGGTTGTCCATCACATATAACTGGGGGAAAAAAATTGAGAAAGGTTTCCATACATGCAGAAGATGAGTTAGGCCATTACTGTAAATGAATGTTTATCTGGCTATGAGGAGAAATCAATGACACAGTGACTGTTTTAATAGCAGAGTTAGTAATAATTGTGACAAGGTAATGGATTAGGATGGGAGATTAATGGGGAAATATGTAAAGTAAAGGAAATTCTGAGGAGAATCAATGAAGGCCAAAGGAGTTAGCTTCAAAGTTATCCTTCATTTAATGGGATTTGTTCAATATTGTAAGTCTTACGTGCATGTATATCCAGGCTGAAAAGACACTCATTTTTAGCCGGGCTTATTGCTCAAAGAGCAATTGCCGGCTTATGTGATCCTGTTCAAGGCAGGATGTTGACCCCATAGTCGCCATTTTAAAGTTAAGTGCAAAAATATAGTTCTTACTCTCAACCGCTTTTGAGATAATACTAACGCTAAATAAAGCAACAAAAATAAAACGAAGTTTCATCTTTATAAAATAAACATTAGTAGTAATGACTTTGAAAACTTCAAAAGTCAAAGAACATAGTTCATTAGCGTAAGGATTTTTGATAAAAAGTGTTATTTGTGAATACAAACATTGTACACATACGAGGTAAAGCAGGAGAGGGAACCAGACTGGCCTGTTTGTTTACATTCAGCTGCGGTACCAGATTACATGTAATTCTAATTCTGACAAAATCGGACCGCGGTATTAGGATTGAAAAACTCACTGTCAGTGCCTTACCATTTATATTGATAGTTTTAAAATAATTTTTTCATCAGAATATAAACGTGATTCATGTAAGAAATCCATTCTACTCTGTAAATGAGCCCGGCTCTCTGTACTTCTGAGTACTTTGATTTAAGCTAGCAAAGGAAAAATCTGTTTGACTTGACTCAGCACTATTAAAGAACATTCTGTAAAAGTATTACTAGACCTATCATCTTCACTATAGAATAAAAATTGATTAATCAACCAAAGTATTTTATTTTTCAAGCTGTTTAGTGAAAAAAAATACTAACTTTGATTTCTGTGATATCAATAAGATAAAACATGTGACAGACTTTTGATTCAGGTATTTCAGAAGGAGCACAAAATCTCAACATTTAATATCAGATTCAGGACTGCAATAACATCACCATAAAATCAATATGTCTGAACAAATTAAAGTAAAATTAGAGAAAACAAATCGATCATAATCGACATTAACTTCCGTCAGACAGACCCACAGGCAAAAGACAGAGAAAAAAGTCCTGTTACGTAATTCTGGGCAGGTAGTCAGGCATAGTTTCCATGACAACACAAACAGTTTGATTATCTGGAGCATGCTATACTTTGTTAGCTGGTTATCTGAAGAGCTAACCAAACAATGAATACCTTTTTTTGCTAGTTATATTTAATCATTTTTTCAGACTTTGCCTTGTAATTGATATTAGATGTATGCATTATGTAATTTTTACATGATAGATTTATGTTTTGTGGGTATTGTTGGAATTCCTCTTTTTCTGCAGAATGTCACGTAATACTGGGAACATTAAGTACAGGGTTGTGGGACAGGGTGGAGACAGTTGTATGTCCCTTAATGAATTCTGTAAAGTGTCTGAATTTGACAGTTCAAAATATTTTTTAAAAAAATTTCCTTGCAAGCACACAGGATAACATTTTCAGATCTTTAGATTTAATTTAGAGGAAACAATTTTTCTTGTGTTTGTGATCACAATACTGATGAAAAAAAATTAAATAAATCAACAAGTGAACTTGAGAAATGTTAGGTTTGTTAAGGCCTGTAGCTAAAGGAATTTTTTTCATATTTCTTGGCTTTAATCACATATATTTAGTAAGACAAAATATAGTCAGAACAGATATACATGTATATAAATAACAGAGTTTAGCACCACCTCCCTTTAAAAAGTTTATTTATCAAAAGGTACTAGTAATAGTTTTGTCAGTACACAATTATTAATACATGTTTTTATCCCATGTTTAAACCTTTATCACGTTGATATAGCTCATGTGATATCGTTTTCATATCACACAGTTGTGACGTCACAATGGATTTTGCGTTAGAATGATGAAGTAAAATGAAATGGATTCCTATATAAAACAGTGTCAAACATTGTTCATGGTGTAAAAAACATGGAATAAAAAGAGTCTCACATGATTTGTAGTTGGATATGATTTTTATCCAACTCCTTGTGTGTTCTTATTCTCTCGCCAAGGCTCGGGGATATAAAACACACAACTCGTTGGATAAAAATCATATCCAACTACAAATCAAGTGAGATCCTATATTTATTGATAAAGTATTTAGATTTAAAGTTGCGAATGAAAAAAGGTTCCCCTTCTTTATCCTTGATTTAAAAGTTTCATGTGATTCAAAAAGTGATATGAAAAAAGTAGCCCCCCCTTCCCCAGTTGCAAATCTCAGTTATTATTGTTTCTGGTCAGATACATGTATGGAACAGTGAATCATATTTGCAGTCAATCAGTAAATATGTATGAAGACCATGTAATTTAAGTCACCAGGTGTTTAAACTGGTGGTTTGTTTATGAAAGTTAGCTGAAGAAAATGTTGACACTGGTTATTTAAGAAGAACAAACACAGTGGCAATTGGTACTTCTTATTCTTATATGAACTTGTGGCAATAATTTTCACCCAAACAAGAAAACATTGAAGGTAGCTCTCATTCAGTTGTAATTAACTGAACCTATTCCTAAAGTAGTTTTGGGTTTATGTTTAATTCACTCTAATGGATTAAAATCTGTGAAGCAGAACCTAACTCATATAATGTTAAAATAGTTTAATAGATTTTTTCCTTAATTTTCAGAATGAATTATCACCAAATACCTATTTAAGAGGCTTGCTTCCTTCCCACTTTGCCCTAGAGGATGACCCAGCACATGTAAACTCTGAAGCAGACGACAGCTTCCAGAACCTTTTGCCGCGGCAGGCGGACTTGGTGGAATCTCCACCCTATGATTGCTCCCTGTTGAGTGACAACAGTGGAAAGGACAGTGCGGTGGTCAGTGAAGTGGAAATTAAGATGTCCTCAGAGTGCAGCGACTCTGACCTTGACATGCTAAGGAGGTCACATCAGAAGTCAGAGACCCGGGACATAGGATACAGCAGTGGAACTTCGATATCTCCGTTCCCAGCTGGTCACACCAGCACGGAATCGGACTGCGACGATATCAAGAAGCTCATTGATAATGTGGAGAATCTGGTAGGAGAGAAACAGAAATCTCCACCAAGGCAGAGGATGTTTGAGAGCCCCAAGAAAAAGAAGGGCCCCATCAGTTCCTGTGACGCCAGCAGTGAGGACAGCGATGCCTCACTGGAGGATTTCTCGACAGCCTCAGATGATGCGGAGGGGCTGTATGATAGTATGATGGGAGGGTTAGAGTACAATTCTGATGTATCTCTTCCTAATAACCTCCCAAATCTATATAACACTGCCAAACTTAGGCAGAATGGAAAGAAAAAGAAGGATCGACCTTGGAGTGCGATCCAGATCAAGGAGTCAGATGATGACTCTGTGACCTTTTCAAGGTCAGACACAGCCGTGGAACAGCTCAGGGATGCTCTGGAGACCCCCACAGGAAAGTGTGAGATGGGGAGAAGTACCCTGCCACGGGCTGGAGCTAAGAGAAAGCTCTACGAGGCTGATGCTCCCTACACCTCAGATCCAGGAAGTTCAGGTGAGTACAGTAATCAATTGCATGAGGAGAAACTTTGTATTACTCTATTATATGAATAATAATATGTAAAAAACTGTTTTATATGAAGAGTTTGTCTATCTAAACAGGATCTGAAGATTATGCGACTGCCTACAGTGAATTCATTTTGTCAGAGGAAGATGAAAACATGGCCAGCACAGCCTCATTCTCAGAACCTATCTGGGATAATTACCACCAGGTAAACATTGTGAATGGAAAATGTGAAAATGTAATATTTCTGGTATCATTAATGGCACAGTGAAGGAAACTAAGGTGTTATAGAAATTGTCTTCTGGTCCTTCTGTAGGTGTATACGTCTCTAGGGGAGGAAGAAGAACAGCCCCTGACATGGCAGCCCCTGGAGGAGGATTTTGAATTTGATGAATTTCCTCAGTATTCTGGTATGCAGTCTGCTGCCACTGAAAAGAGGAAAACACCCAGACCCAAACTGGTAAGTAAAGTTTGTGAGGGATCTTTTTATTTTAGCCCATTAGATTTAATTGTTATTACAGTCAAACCTAAATACCTAAGAACATGGAGGGACGATTAAAAAATGTTAAGATATCCAGAGATTTGAAAAAAAAATCAAGATTGAAATTTCTCTTATTGATAAGGTTGGGACTTTTCAAGTTCAGATTATCCCTTTTAAATGACAAACAAGTGTTCACAACAAAAAAGTACAGCTGTATTTGAATACAAAGAAGGACAGAGGTTGATAGATGTATGGCACACTTGATCTCTGTAGGTCAGTCAAGGCAGTCGACCAGGGTATGACAGCGATTCAGACCTGGAGGACTTGAATTGCTTCATTGAAGACTCCATCAGTCAACTTAGAATCGCAGATCATCACCTGAAGAAGAAAAGCAAGGACTTCATGGGTACTGGAGTGGAGATCAACACAAATAAATATGTAAGTCAGTGGTACAAAAATCTATGATGGATGAATCAATGCTTGTGTATCTTAGATAGAGAAGCCTATAGAAATCCAATAAAAATATCAGTGTAAGTGAGTTCTGGTGCCAGAGATTGGCTTTTTATAGTCTCAGCAGCCAGTCAGAAGTTAGCATGTATTGATCATGATCAGATAGAATGCTCAAGAGATTAGTACATGTTATTTATATATCATCTAATCTAAATGGGATATTCTGAAAATTCTGTTGGTAAATTGTATTAGGATAATACTCAATCTGATGATGCTTTTATAGCATACACTAAATGGGTGTTTAATCTTGCCCTTGTCTATTGCAGAATGAAATCATTGCCACTTGTCAGACCAACATAGCTTGTCTACAGAGTGTGCTACAACATCTCAATGATGAAGTCACAGATGAGGAGGTAGAAAATATGAAAGGTATGAACATCAGAGGTATTGATTTAAAAAAAGTTTGTTTCAATATGATTGGTAGATTTGTGTGGAATATATCTCAGAAAGTTATGGCAAAATGTTGTTGCTTTTTCTGTTCAACTTCACAGTCAGAATTGTAGTACAGTGTACATGATTAGAAAAAATGAAGTCACTTGTGTATGTACTAAATGTTTAACAATTGCAAGGCAAAGCCCGTGGATAAATATATTTGAATAGAAGGAATAAAATCGGAAAATGCTCTTTTTCAGATGTATTGGCACAGTGGGAGAAGTTACATGCCTTTGCCAAGGAACGGCAGTCTGAATCCAGTGAGTTATCCACAATGTACAAGTGTCTTAAGGACGTGGAGGCTGAACTGTCCAGCTGTGATGAAGGGACCAAGTCATTCAGCAGTCTTAGAGACCTGGAGCATTGTCTAATCAGCACTAAGGTACAGTTTGTAAACCTATGCCTTGGTTGGCTAGTGAGTGATGCAGCACTTTAGAAGTTTTCTGCTAAAGGCTGTTACAGTAGATTTGTTTAAACTAAACACAGATATATCAGACACCTGCTTAAAACATTTTTTAAACTCAATTTATATAACAAAATTAGTAATTGTTACCAATGAATTATATGTTGTGAATGTTTGACTTCTGCTAGTGCATCACTTTGACTCCATTTGTTAGTTAGCAAGTCTATATGCTGACATGTTTGTAGGAGTTTTGAATTGTTTTTCAGACAAAGCTGGAGAGCCTGCCCTGTGTAGAAAACAAAATGGCCACATTACACAGAATGTGCAGTGGATTTCAGTTGGAACATCCTGCCATTAACTTACTGGCTTTCACTCAACAAGTCAATAAGACCAGCAGTAACCTCAGCAGAACCAGAGACTTGTAAGTAGCTTCAGGGGTCTGAATTGGCTTACAATATCAAAAACAAAACCTTCACAGCAGCAAGGAATAAACAAGACATTATTGAAGAATTCAAGGTTATTTAATTTTAGTCAATGGATAGAAGTGTAACTTACAAGTGTGTCTTAACAATGTGTGCTTTAGACTTCAAATATTTGTTAAAAGTAAAATTAATTAGGTACTGTATATGTAGAATTAGCTGTTATACATTTAGTTGCACATTGTAATTGTATTTTAAAAACACTAATAGTATTCCTAGCTATACTTCTTTATAGGCTGTAATAGGTCAATAAAATTGACAACAAATTCACCTTTTATTTCTACAGACTGACAAAGCAGTTGTCCGAACTGGAGTCTGAGTTCCAGGTTTGGAGTGAATATGTTCAGGAGAGGAATGCCCTTGAGGAGCTCTTGTCCTCAGAATTTGATATGGACCTCATGATGGCACACATGCAGAGGGAGGACACTATACAATACCTTAATGTAGGTCACTTATACCTCATAATGAGAAGCAAGTGTCACACATATGAATTCATTTTATAACTGTTTTATCTCTCTTAGAACTAAATTATCAGGAAATATTCTAAACCTTTATATCTTTTATTTTATTTACACAGACTTCATATAGTCAATACCATTTGTTGCTTTTTATTACAGTCAGTGAATGAAAACCTACAGAAATATGAGGAAAAGTGCTGCCATCTGCAATCACTGCGAGGACGTATAATGCAGTTTGCAGATGAGCAGATGAAAGTGGACATTACAAATGAGACGGCAGATATACAGGACAAAATGTTAGAGGCCCACAGACAGTATAGGACCTTAGTGTGGTCCGTTAATCAGGGATCAATAGACTTACCACAAAAGTAAGTACACTCTAAGTTCTCGTTATTCCAATGTAATTTTTAATTTTGTTGATGATTAATTCATTATCTCAGTGTTGCATTTGTATTGCTGTATTCATGTACATGTTTGGACCAACTCGTGATTGGTTCTGACAGTGATCACATTTCAATGCATTAGAATTTCTGGGTATTTGTACTTTGAAACTATATCTTAAATTATCAAAAACTGTTTTCATTATATCTTTTTTTTTTCTGTAGGATGCAAAAACATCCAAGTGACCTTGCATCAAATTCCGCAGCTGAAGGTCAGACTACGACACCGTCCCGGTCATGGTACCGCTCAGGTTACGTCAAGGCAGCTGGGGTATTTGTCATGTTTGGTATCGCCTATCTCGTGGACCCTGAGGCTATCAAACACCTGGGTGATCTCACAATTACACTTGCACCAGAACTCAGATATGTCAATGGCCCACCGCCCATTTAAATTTATAATTTATAAATAGGTCAGGAGAAGATATATTTTTAAATATGTATATATTTTAGATTAATGTTTTTTTTTGTAAGAAGTCAAAAATAGGAAGAGAGAAAAAATTCACAAAAAAAGGATAATTTGTGTTAATAAATTATATTTTTCAATTTTGTATAAGTGTAAAAGGGTTTTAAAAATGGTTTAATATAACATTTGTATAGTATATTAATCAGAAGTACAAACATCATTCCCGTACTTAAGCACAATTCTTAAACAATATGAAAATAAAAGACCGGTATGCACACAATTCAGAGTTAAGAAGAATATCAAAATAAAAGTTCTTATATACATACAGGTGTATTTATATTTGATACAATGGGTTAAAACAAAACCATGGCACATGGCAATTATTTATTGATTTTTAAATTCAAAATAAAAATGCATTTATCATTTCCAGATTGATATTTCACAATCAGTTTCACACAGGCAGCTATTTACACAACACGGCCTCAGCGAAGGGAGGCAATCCTACAATGTACATTTATATATATTGTCTCATCAGGTTGTTCACTATGTCTCCACTTCATTTGTACATAGCTTATTTATTTTATTGTTAAATTTATTTTTTGCATGGGTAGGTCCAGCTGCAATAATGTAGCCTTCTCTGATATTTTTTAATCTGATGTTTTTAGGGGAGAGCTTTGTCCCACCAAGAAATAAAAATAATGGGGAGGGCTACATTATTGTAGCTAGGATACGGCATAAGGTCAAGTGTATACCTATTCAAGGTCAAATTGGGTATTGTAGCCATGTTCTAAGATGTGTAAATAATATTAAGATGATTGTAGAGCTGGCTATATTAACAGGGACTTAAATTATGCAGTCCTTTGCAAAGAAATATTGTAAAAGTAAATTGAGAGGTGGACCTAAAGGATGATAAAAGTGAATTCATAGGTCTGTCCACTCAAAAAAGAAAAAGCCCACTAATGGCATTTACTAAATTAGGGGTCCAAACGAGAAAATAGAAAAAACTTTGGGCATTTAAAAATGTGAGTAAATATCTCTTAATATATACAACACTATTATTGATGATAGGTATTATTTTGGTGTTGTGATACATGTACCATCTTCAGAGGTGCTTCTTAAAAGAGATCCATTTATAAAAGAGATTTGCCTCTTAAAGTGAACATTCTGTAAGAGAAAGTACTTTTTAACAAAAGTTGTCACTTAAGTATTGGAGTTACAGCATCCAATATTATTACAAGTACACGTATATATCAAAATAGGTACATATTAAGAAGAACGGTAGAGAGTAGAGAAAGATCTAAGAAAAAAGTGACATAAGCATTTGATACTCAAGAAGGGTTTTTGTTCTTCCAGAACAACTACTGGAAATAAGTTTGTCACAACCTCCAAAGAGTGAATTCACCAGTTAGAAATCAAGGGGAGGTCACTGTAAATAGTTTCTTTACACACATATCTCGGTGCAAGTGTATTTGTTTCAGATTGACAAGGTTATCATAGCAGGTCCACAGTGGTGCTCAATTTAATGTGTTTAATATATATATAACTTTTTTTTCCATCAAATGTCATGGAATTCTCTATTTCAATCTGAAGCAATTACCAATGGTTTTATTTTATATACATCACTAATCACTTATTCAAGTGCTTTGTAACATTGTATGTATTTATCATCCACAACAGTGTTGTGATTTTTAGTGGATCCATTCTCTTATGGTGTTGTTAATTTGATTTCATGCTGTGCAATTTTGTTAATTTGTTTTAATTTCGATTTTGGAATTCTTATTTAGAAGATATATTTATGGACTTCATTGTTAAGATTGATTTTAAAATGTTCTGTTTTATATAATGAGATTATATTTAATTATTTGTTTAGTTTCCCCCTTGTAATAATTACAAATAACAGGATTACATGAAGGTAAAATGAAAATGAAATAAATCTATATTTTCATCTGACACCTGCCAAAAAAGTGCCATCAGCTGATGAACCTGCCTGGTCACATGATCTGTTTTGGTGTTTATTTGTCTCAAACCTTCATACGCTTTGTTGAGAAGTGCTATAAGTGTGGTCATTTTTTACTGGAAGTTTCTTTAATGCTCACATACAAATTGAGATGGTTTTTACCCAATCAGATTGAAATTTTTTACAGTATGCTTTTAATGATGTGCTTTACTTATGCGTCAGAAAATTGGTTTATCTTGCCTTTATTATATAATAATGCATTTGGTGTGATACTTTTTACACACATTTAAATCCTGAATCATTTATATACCTCAGTCACGTCAAGTGACCTATTTGCTAATGTGTTCTTTGTGTTAGACACAAGTCTAATGCTTCTTGAAGTTGAAATTGTCTAATAGTCTACATTTGAGAAAAAAATTTAGACTGCATAAACACATGATATAAAAAAAAAAAGAAAAGTAAAATTGCCACACCTCAGAGCATTAAAGCTACTTTTGTGTATAGATGATGTACTCCTCATATTAATGCATTAATATCTTCAGTTGTGTATTCTGTTTTGATAATGATTTTTTTTCTTCAGAAAACCCCAGTTTCATTTTATATTTTTTTCTCTTCATTTTTGGATGAAATAAATCATTTTGTTTTCTAAAATGTATTTCTTTGAGTGGATATTATATATTTTACATGTAAAAGTGGAAAAAATTTAAATCTTCTTAAAAAAAAAACAACAAATAAGACACACTATTTTAAAGAAATAAAAAAAGGTTGTGGCATTTCTGCATCATACCATATTAAATGGAAAGAAATAAATTAATTATAACCAATTAGTTGTTTGTTTGTCTATTCTCAAGAGCTCACCTTAGCTGAGAGTTCTATAAGACTTCTCTGATCAACCATTTAGGATTGTTTTAATGTAGTCAAGATTAAAAATTGTTCAAAGCATCCCCCAGGGCAAAGGATGTGGTCTCAAGGTCACTTCAAAGTTGAACTAAAACGCACTCATTTACAATTTCAGAGGAAACACAAGCATGTTTTTGTTTTCTTTTATCTCCATAAGAAGCGTCAAAACCCTGCTCGCTGAGTGGAAAGTCGAACTTAACCATGGAACAGTATACATGTGCTAATCTCGAGCAATTTAAGTCATTACTTAGACCAAAGCCTTAAGGGGGATGTACGGCCACCTTTAGTGCAGTGAGAACAAAATGTAAACATTACTTCAAATGGCTAAAATACATTATATTTTGATCAAATTTTAAGTCTTTATGATAAAGATACAATAAATATGCATAACTGAATTCATGTTGTGCATACATAATCTGTACTTTTGCAGAAAAATGCTTTTGATATGCTCCTTAGAACTGCGCAGCTACAGAATTCAGCAAAGCCTTAAAAAATCCAAAAAAATATGCAAACTGTGCAGCAATGTTCTCTCTACAACCATTTGTTGAGAAAATGTCTAAATTTTGCACTTTTATATGATAATTTCAAGTTCAAAACAATGTATCGTTGCCTTCAAAAAGAGTGTAAATAACCATGAAAGTAGTTCATGGATAATAGCACGTGGTCTATTTTTAGCACAAAATTTTGTTTTCCAGACCTCTTCGTAATATGGAGGGACATAACAATCTTTAAATGTAGAAGAGAATTACAGTTGCAAAATATTTCAAATAATATGAACACTTTTAAAAGAAATGTGTTACAGAGTTTCTAGAAGTAATTTATTTAGTATTTTTATCGAACATTTGTTAAATAGTGTACGTATTGATATAAACAAAAATCTAAAACTCTTTGATTCAAGTAAAGGAAAAATGAGCACCATCAAAGTTAAAAATTGAGAGTTTGTAAGTTTGCCACAGATAACTTATAATATCTATTAAAAGTTTAATTATCACTATTGAAACACATAGAAATTAAACACATAAAATCGATATGAATGACCTTGTTTATTTCCAAAGTCAGTTAAAGTGCCCCAAACAGTTTCAAAAAACGGCTGAAGATTTTCAACTCAGAAAACAAAGGAAATTTTTTGATTTTGATAGAACAATATTCGAATGATCAGAAAACACATATGATAGCTCTTGAAAGGGGGTATTATATTCTGCACACATATGGAACAAATACAATGTAATTTTAGCAGTGAATTACGTTATTTCTTAAGGTGTTACCAAAAAAATTAAAAACATTATTATTGTAGATTCAAAATGGTGTTTCAAGTAGTTGTATTTGATAGAGTTATATATAACTATCCAATTAAAAACCGCAGTGTAATTGAAAATTTACCATATATATTCAAAAATATTCCATATTTACACATAGTTAATGTACGAAAAATTAATAATATGGATTTTGAGAAAATGACATCTTATTTTTTCTTCGTTTAAACTGGCATACTCAGATTAACAAAGAAGTTTGTATGTGTTTGCAGATGTATACCTTTTATATAAAGACTCTCAAGTTTTTACATTTTGGAATTCAAAGTAAACGTTTATTTTGAGACAGGAGCAAACTGTCTTCTTTGTAACGTAATTCACATTCATCCTTAAAATGAAAACTAATGATTATTATTGGTTGAATAACACCATTTTTACAAATTAGAATACAGAAAATGATTATAAATATTGCAATATCTTTGCAATAGACATCATAATTATATATATCTAGATTGTTATCATTGTAAAACATCATATTTCACACACCTTGGTATTTTTCAGATGAAATCAAAAGCTGTATATTCTGAAAATGCAGAATTACTACGGTACATGTACCTATTACAGATGATTTAAACATTATATCTACACGATTTCTGGCGTTGCACTTAAGTTTGGTGGGATTAAGCATCAAATTATATTTCAAAATCAATCTGCATTATAAAACAAACAATGTAACGTAATTCACATACCAGATTGTAAGTGTCAATATGGAAATAAATGTTTAAAGTAAGGAGAATTTTCTTATTTAAGTGTGTTCTATTTAGTTCTTTCAACAAATTTTGGACCTTTTCTAGACCCTTTTACTATTAAAAAGATCTGTTTATTCCTGTACTGAGATGAGACGATTTTTGGGTTAATTCTGAAGTTGGTACATAAAACTTAATTTTACACGTTAGACCTCTTTTTCCAGGTAGTTATCTCCTTCTTTGGCCTTTACCTACCACCGACATTTCTTTTGGGGCTCAGCATTAATCATTTTAGTCATTATCTAAGATTAAAACTGTAATTATGTAATCTGTGAATTACGTTACACTGTTGTGGATTACGTTACACTATTATACAGACCTTGCCTGATGTAAACACCGAGCGAATCAATGTTTTATATTTATGATATCTTAGTAGAACATATATCCTTCATTTTCAAAACGAAAATCCTATAACACTATGAACGATGAAATAGTTTTATTTATTTAAGAATAAAATTTTCAGCTAAACCGCTGCATTAGTTAAACCTGTTCCCGCCTGTAAACTTCCTTTCTATAAGTTCCTATATGATAAGTGATGACATTGAATAAAGATTCATGGTAATTTTGCTCCTAGTTAGGATTCTTTTAAAACAAAAAGAAAATTGATCATAACGTAATTCACTGTAACGTAGTTCACGAACTTCGACTCTAATTCAAATGTTTAACTAATGACAACAGTTTAAGGCATTGTCTATGTGTGATTTATAATGGGCATAAGTGTGTATATCAGTCAGGAGATTTGATGTTCGTAGCATTTAGGAATTGTGTGTAAGATCGCGTAACGTAATTCACAATTAAATGCAAAAATGGAAAATTTTCAAAATTCGTGAATTTTTTGACACAGATGTTATCATATGCCTGTAAATCATTATTTTTTTTTTATTTTGATAAGTTAATAATCAATTTTATCCATGTAACGTAACCGTTAATGCCACTTACAATTTCGTTAAAGCAGTGAGAAAATCGTAACGTAATTCACTGCATTAAATGGGACATTCAAATTACGCAGTGCAAATTTTTTTTTGGCTATGGCAGAGAAATTATAAGTAAAAATGATTTGTTTAACCCTTTTTTGTTATGATATACAATATTTAGCATTTTTATTGGTAATCCTAAATTATTTTTTCAAACCTGAATAAAACCACCCTTGTTTGTGACACCCTGTTTTGATCAAATTAGGCTTAGAAATCCTTTACTTTTGAATAGTAAACGGGATCAATACATCGTAATATCTATATTTTTAAATCGATCATAACTTAACATCACATTT